TAGGGTGCAAGTCCATTATGTGTAGGTGCAAGTTTAGTATGTGTGGTGTCCAAGTTAAATCTGTGTAGTAGTGCAAGTCTAGTCTGTGTTGGCGTGTATGTTGAATCTGTGTGGAGGTGAAAGTTTAGTTAGTGTGAAGTACAAGTTTAATTTGTGAGGGGTGCAAGTTGAATCTATGTAGGGATGCAAATCTAATCTATATAGGACGTGAGTTTAATCTATGTAGGGTGTGGGGTGTAGGGTGTGGGGTGTAAGTCTAATATGTGTAAGGATACAAGTCTAGTTTATGTGAAGTGTAAGTTTAGTTTGTGTGGGTGCAAGTCTTACTTTGTATGTGGGATCAAACATGCCACTATTTTTTTTATTATATAATTATTTTGGTTTGAGTTATTATTTGCGTGGTTTGAATTAATATATTTTTATTTACAATTGTATTATTCTAAACGTTTTCCCCTACCAATATATATATATATATATTAATTAGAAAAGTAATTTATTATTTATATTAACTTAAGTCATACAAATTATTTTAATTCTATAAATTTTTATATATTTTAAATTATTAATTTAAATTTTTATTAAATTTTTTAAACATTAGTCTTATTTTAAATATTTTGTTTATATTTTTTGAGTAATATTAATTTTATAAAAATTAAATTTATATATTAAGGGGTTGTTTGGGATGTCCTAAATAAGTGCATTTTTTGTCTTTTTAGACTAAAAAGTTAAGGGAAAAAAAGATGGATGTTTGGCTAAATTTTTAACTTTTTATGAAAAAATGCGTATTAAAAAATTGTATAAATAAGTGTGTAGGAGAAGAGAGTGGATTAGGCTGTACAGGTTGGGCAGGGTAGTGGGTTGATTATGAGATGGGAAATGATTGCCTCCTTTTCGGGCTTGAATTGGACGGTGTTATTCGGCTCGTGGGAGCCCACCACAGATCCCGTTTTGCTATTCGAAACCGTTTATTGTGTAGAACTCGTCGAGTACTATATACTTGTAAAAAATCACATTGATTGGATATCGATAGCTATCTGATCGTGTTAGTTTTTTTTGTCAACTGTTAATTATAATAGCATCCATTTTTTTATACAAAACTAATTTGATCATGTAGGTAGTGATATCCGATCAACGTGATTTTTTGCAAACATATAATTCTGAACGAATTTTACACATTGAATGGTTCAGATGATCAAAACGGGACTTGTGGTGGGCCCCACGGGCCCAACATTACCGTCCAAAATAGTGATTTTATATACGTAATTTTTTTCCCCTGTCCACGGTGCTAAAGGGGTCAATTCAGTCCCGAAAAATGTGTAAAGTTGATTTGATTAAAATATTATATATATTAATTTTTTAATATTTTTAATTTGTGAATAGTGATAACTTTTTGAATTTTTTTTAACTTTTTGACTTTTTAAATTTTTTGAAACACCTCAAACCAGACCTAAAAATTATGCGTATTTTATTAAACAGTTATGCTATGTAGCTCAAATCAGCCTTTCCCTGAATCCCCTCGAAATCAAAACGACGTCGTTTCATTGTTTTGATTTTTTTTTTTTCCAGAAGAAGAAAATCAAAAAGAAAAAGCAAGAAGAAGGAAGAAGAAGAGAGAGAGAGAGAGAGACTGAGACCCCGAGACCAAGAAGAAGAAGAAGAAGAAGAAGAAAAAGAAGAGAGAGAGAGAGAGAGACGGCGGAGGCGGAGGGGACGGCCTCGACCCTTCATTTCAGATCCAGAAAAAAAAAACAAAAAACAAAATCGGGCTGGACCCTCGATCGGCGGAGGCGGAGATAGCGTCGATCGGTGACGGCCTCGACCCTCTCTCTCTCTCCCCATTCTCTCTTCCCCTCTCTTCTCTTTCTCTCTTTCTCTCCCCCTCCCTCTCTCTCTTCCTCTATGCATTTCAGATATAAAGGAGGGAAGAAAAAAAGGAAACTGTCCAAAATGACATCATTTTGGGCAGTTCGTGAAATTTGAGGAGGAAAAATTTGGGAGAAAAATCATTCTCCTTTATTAAAATAGAATAAAATAAAATTTGTTTTGTTTTTTATTTAAAAAAAAATAGAGGTAGGTGATGTGATGTGTGCTCTGGAGAGAGAGAGAGAGAGAGAGAGAGAGAGAGAGGAAACTGACGTGCGAGGGAAAGGGTTGATTGTGTGTCAGTTTGTGAGTGGTCCATGAGAGATGAGAGAGATTTGAGAGTTACCGGTAAAATGATAAATGATTATTAATTTTTCGAAAAATGTTTAATAATTTAAATTTGTGTAATTTATATGACTTAAACGTATTAAAATAATATTATTTTACTCTTAAAATAACATTATTTTAAAATATTCAAGTTATTCAAATCATGAAAATATAAATTACTAAACATTGTTGTAATTTTCATACTGGCGTAATTTTCAAAGATTTCTCGTTAATTTGTGGTTTACATCCTCTGCGCCCACTCCAAGTAATTCCTCCTAACTTTAACATCATTGTTGTTTAATATCATAGGCCGTGGCTTCTCTCTAATCCTATTAAGTTTGTAGGAATTTATTACGGGTCTTATTTTGATAATTTGAACCGTGTAATGTATAGAATTTGTCGAGTACTATATACTTACAAAAAATCACGTTGGTAGAATATAGATAACTGTGTAATTAAATCAATTTTCTGTTAACCGTTTATTTTTTCACCGTCTATTTTTTTATACAAAACTGATTTGATCACGTAACTATCGATACCTGATCAATATGATTTTTTACAGGCATATAGTACTCGACGAGTTCTACATATTCCACTGTTCAGATTATCAAAACGAGACCCGTGATAAACTTTCACAGGCCTAACAATACCCTCCAATCTAATTATGGATTGGAGGGAAGCTTAGCCCAATATCATATTAGTCAATCAATAAAGTCTTCAACTTTTAAAATTGAATAATACTTGGACCTTAAAATTTGTGACCCGATATTTTTAATTGATTCATAACCATTTATTATTTATATTTTTCCTTGCTCCTCCCTCTCTCTTATAAATGTGTGCGGAGTTGTGAGGGTCGTGGGATCCCTATTGAGTAATGTTAGGATCATGAAAAAAATATTATGAAAATAATTATGAAAGATTCTCCACTGCTAGATTATACATACGAGAAAACACCACATACTAATCAAAGAATGAAAAATTTTCATAAAACATTTTATGATATTTTTTTTTTATAATTCCTAATATTATTCATCCCTATCATAGTTGTTTAAAATTTGATGGGCCAATGCTATAATATTTTTTCCCTTAGGATTCATGTGCTAAGATAAGGTGAGCAGAGAGTCCAAACTAAAATTTCGTGATAATGGTTTATGAAAATAAAATTTGTGATTTTTAGCAAACATAACATATAAAGTAGTTCACTATGACTTCGTTTGGCAAGAATGGGTTGGGTGGGTTTGAGGCTATTTTAGTTACAAAAAGACAAAATAGATTTTTTAGCCCAACAAGACAAAACATCGCATCCAGCCTATAATCATTATATTTTCTCTCACAAAAAGTGAAAAAATCATTTCCAAACGAGACTTTTTAACTTCAGGCTAAAAAAGTCAAAAAGTTAAAAAGTCAACTCACTTTCCAAACGAATCCTATAAAGTTCAAGAAAAATGCTTCAAAGCTCTAGAGTTGCTCTAATGATGTGACAATTGTATAGGTCTCACCTTAATGTGATATTATGACTTAAGTTATTTATTTATTTTTATTTTTTTTTGAATATGCCAACTCAGTAGAGCTCTGTTTATAACTCAACTTTTAGAGTTATGAATCACAGTTAAAATTTATAAAGAGGCAAAATAAGTTAAATTAGTCAATAAGACAAATTGTCATATTAAATTCATAATTATTTCATTTTTCTCTCACAAACATCACATCCAATTATAAAAAAATCCAACCATCTTCTCAAATACAAAAATTTTAATCTATTAAAATAGCTAAAAATTAAAATAACATACTAAAATAATTAACTTTCTAAATGAGGCCAAAGAATCATTTTGAGGACCACCAATGCAACAGACATTCAACTGATGAGCATCCCACCACTGCATTATCTCTTCCTTTAGAGGGAAAAAAAAAAGAATTTATTTACATGACATGGCTTTTGATACATTGTATAAATTAAAAAAAAAAAAAAAATCTATTTTGTTAGAACTAACAACATAATATAATAACATATATAACACATACAACTAATGTTCGGTTGTAGAACAGGCTAACAGGTGATGCATAATGCTCGAACTAGCAATCACCCTATCTAGCTTGCTTGTTTCCCATCAAGTGGTAGACACTCGGCCAGTCGTCTACTAACCAGTTCCGAACATGGAGTCCATGCCTAAACCATCCATGGAAAGTGACGATAAGCTACACATAGTTATGCTCCCATGGTTAGCCTTTGGTCACATGATTCCTTTCCTAGAGCTTTCCAAGCTCATAGCTCAAAAGGGTCACACAGTATCCTTTGTATCCACTCCTAGAAACATCGACAGACTCCCAAAAATGCCTCCAAATCTGGCCCCTCTCATCAATCTAGTGACGCTTCAATTGCCTCAGGTCGAAAAACTCCCCAAAAACGCTGAGTCCACCACCGATCTTCCCTATGACAAGGTCAAGTATCTGAAGATGGCCTACGATCAACTCCAACAACCCATGACTCAGCTTCTAGCAGATATGGCTCCCGATTGGGTGATTTACGATTTCGCACCTTATTGGCTAGGCCCTGTTGCTGCCAAACTTGGCATTTCTAGAGTCTGCTTCAGCATCTTCATTGCCGCTTCGTTGTGCTTTGCTGGTCCCATACCAGTCTTGAAGGGCGAAGATGATCGTACAACGCCCGAGGACTTCACTGTTACACCCAAATGGATCCCCTTTAAATCTAACATCGCATGCTTTCGGCTCTTTGAGGTTAAGCGTATCTTTGACGACGTAGCCAGTGTCGATGAGGAAAACATTCCCGGTACATATCGGTTTGGAGCAGGCATCGAAGCTTGTGACGTGTTGGCTGTGAGAAGCTCTTATGAGTTCGAACCCGAATGGTTAAAACTTCTTCAACAGATTCACCAGAAGCCGATTATACCTATCGGTCTACTTCCCACCACGGCGTATGATAGTAGTGACAACGGGGAAGCTTGGACGGAGATTAAAGAGTGGCTTGACAAGCAATCTAAGAGGTCGGTTGTCTACGTTGCATTCGGGAGCGAAGCAAAGCCAAATCAAGCCGAACTCACTGAGATAGCTCTCGGGTTAGAGCTATCTGAGTTTCCATTTTTTTGGGTTCTGAGGAATCGGCGTGGTGTGGCTGATACTGAGGTGATCGAGTTACCAAACGGGTTTGAGGAGAGAACTAAGGAACGCGGTGTAGTTTGCACCAGTTGGGCACCTCAACTCAAGATACTGAGTCATGACTCGGTGGGTGGGTTCTTGTCTCACGCTGGGTTGAGTTCAGTTGTTGAGGCTATACAGTTCAAGAAGCCACTCATTTTGTTGTCTTCCCTGGCGGACACAGGGTTGATCGCTAGGCTTTTGGAAGAGAGGAGAATGGCATACTTGATACCGAGAGAGGAGCAAGACGGGTCGTTCACGAGAGGCTCGGTGGCCGACTCACTGAGACTAGTGATAGTTGAGGATGAAGGCAGGATTTACCGGGAGAAGGTTAAAGAGATGAGTGGGTTGCTTGTTGACGATGCTGTACAAGATAAGTACGTTAATAATTTTTTGGATTATCTCAAAAAGCATAAACAGTGAGCTTAATAAGAAGAAAAATGAAGCTAAGATTGGTGCCCAGAAACATGTTAGAAGTGAATAGGCAATCAAAAAATTATTTTCAAAGTTATTTCGAAATTTATTTGTGTAAACTATGTTTTGCTTTGTGGCTGCTTCTTGAATATTGGTCTGGTTTGTATTGCTTTTGCTATCTGTAATGTTTTGCTTTCTAATTTGTATTTGTTGAGAATATAAATAAAGACAAATTACATCATTTTAGTTATTGTTATTTGAGTCACTCCAATTAATTAGTAGGCTCAATTTAGTTCTGAATTTTTATTTTAACTCAAATTGGTTTAATTAATTTTAGTTCTTTTATTTTTATTATTATAAAAATAAAAAACTTTATTGACTAAAGAAACAAAGTACAAGAATGACTTACATCAATAAAGGAGAAAAATGCACTGAGTATCATAGCTAAACTCTAAAATTCTAACTAAGTTGATACCAAAAAACAAGTATCATATGCTAGCACGTAATCCAACGATTGGTGAGAGACCAATCAAGCAACAACCAAAGAAACAAAAATAATACAACAGTAACAAGATTGATTAAGCCCCAAAAGCTAGACAAACCAGGTCCCCTACAGTAGCAACAACCTTGAAGGATGGTATGCTCACTTGGCTACACACACTCCTGTTTCAGATTTGAGACTATATCATGCACCAAGTACGTTCAAATGTGCACAGGAGTGATGCATATTATGCTTTAACTTATCAATTCAATGACTAATTTAGTGAGCATCTTCTGTCAAAAACCTTAGCATAGGGATGGAAATGGATAACCTATCATGTGGGTATTCATAGAGATCCAATCTAAATATATGGATTTTCTTTTTCTTTTTTTCTTATCCATTGGGTAGGGTAAGTAATATTCTTTAAATATCCACAGGGGATGGGTCGGGGATGGGTACCCACTACTTTTCTCATATTTTTTTTTATTTTTATTTTTTTTAATTTGTATTTATTTATTTATTTTTTAAGATTCACAATCAAAGCTAAATATACGTTCAATTTTTTTTTCTTTTATTTATTTATTTATTTTTTAAGGTTCACAAAGATTTTATTTATTTATTTATTTATTTTAAGATTCACATCCATTTTTATTTTTTTTTAATTTTTAAGATTCACAACCAAAGTTAAATATACATTCAATCTTTTTTTTTTTTTTTTTTTCCAGGTTCGCAACCATTTTTTTTTTAGATTCATAACCAAAACTAAATATACGTTCAATCTTATTTTATTTTATTTGGCTCAACAACAAAATCAAATACTCATTAATTAACATTGTCACATTATTCTTGTCAAATTTTATGCACATCTAGAATTTTTTAATTTATTTTGAAAAATTCTATTCCTACAAAAAAATTTCATCTTCTTTTTTAATTTTTTTTTTAATTATGTATCTCCTTCTCCTCTCTATTAATTGATCTTCGATAATCTGAAGGTGAATTATTGCTCTCGTTTCCATCATCATCATCATCATCATCTTCTTCTTCTTCTTCTTCTTCTTCTTCTTCTGCTTCTTCTTTTTTAAAAATTTTTATTTGCATTTATAGAATAAATTTTCTTGTTTTAATATCTCCTGCAATTGTTTTATTGGATTTCTCTCTGATTTGATGGTAGCCTTAGATTGAATTTCCCAATTTTCATCTTAACTAGCGATCACCTTAATTAAAATTTTATACATTTTTGTCTTCAATTTTCATGTTTTGGTTATGATTAATTGCTTGTTTTTGATCGATAGTTACAATCTTGTCACCGCTAGATTGTCATCATCGCAAATCGCCATTGCCGTAGTGAGAGGATGAGAGAGAGTGAGAATTAGAACTCTAATTGTCAACAGAGTAGTGAAAACATATGGAGAAATTATTTTCCGATGTACACAAAAAAAAAAAATTAGTGGGTACCCATCCCCGGTTGAGATTTAAAGAACATTACGTACCCTACCCGACGAACAAGAAAAAAGAGGAAACCCAAGTATTTGGGTTGGGTCTCCATGTATACCCATATGGTAGGTTATCCATTGTCATCCCTACTCTATTGACAATTAGAGTTCTAATTCTCACTCTCTCTCATCCTCTCACTACGACAACGGTGATTTGCAATGACGACAATCTAGCGATGACAAGATTGTGACTGTCGATCAAAAACGTGCAATTAATCATAACCAAAACATGAAAATTGAAAACAAAATTGTACAAAATTTCAATTAAGGTGATCACTAGTTAAGATGAAAATTGAAAAATTTAATCTAAGATTACCATCAAATCAGAAAGAAATCCAATAAAAAAATTGCAGGAGATATTGAAACAAGAAAATTCATTCTATAAATGCAAATAATTTTTTTTTTTTTTTTTTAAGGAAGAAGAAGAAGAAGATGGAAATGAGAGCAATAACTCACCTTCAGATTATCAAAGATTAATTAATAGAGAGGAGAAGGAGATACATAAAATTAAAAAAATAAAATAAAAAAGAAGATGGAATTTTTTTTTGTAGGAATAGAATTTTTCTAAATAAATTTAAAAAATTCTAGATATACATAAAATTTGACAATAATAATGTGGCAATGTTAATTAATGTGTATTTGATTTTGTTGTTGAGCCAAATAAAATAAAATAAGATTGAATGTATATTTAGCTTTGGTTGTGAATCTTAAAAAAAGAAATAAAAAATTGAATGTATATTTAGCTTTGGTTAAGATTGAATTTTTCGAAATAAATTTTAAAAATTCTAGATACACATAAAATTTGACAAGAATAATGTGACAATGTTAATTAATGTGTATTTGATTTTGTTGTTGAGCAAAATAAAATAAAATAAGATTGAATATATATTTAATTTTGGTTGTGAATCTTAAAAAAAAAAAAAAAGTTGTGAACCTTAAAAATAAAAATAAAAATTAAAAAAAAAAGATTGAATATATATTTTGTTGTGGTTGTGAATCTTAAAAAAAAAATTAAAAAAAATAAAAAATAAAAAAATGGGGGGGTCAAGTTGGGTTGGGGAATATCCAAACCCATTAGGAGATGGGAAAGGTAGTACCCATGGGGAATGGGGAATGGGGAAAAATAATTTTAGGGGAATGAGGATGGAGAATTAATATCCACCCCATTAACCCCCATTGTCATCCCTACCTAGCAATGTTATAAATAGGACTAAATTGACGCACAATACAAAATTAAGGATTAAAATTGAGTCAATTGTAATTATAGGGACCAAAATGACATAAGAAGTAAAATGTAAAGACTGACAATATAACTTGCCTTATAAATAATAATGTCGTCCGTCTCTTTCAGTGTTTAATTAACTTTTTTATTTTTATTTTTTATCAACGAAAAAGAACTTTATTGATGAAATTCAAAATGATTACATATGAACCAAGATCAATAAGGGGGGGAGGGGGTTGGGGGCACATAGTATCAAGTGAACCTTCCTAATCCTAACTAGGTTGGTACTAAAAAAGCCACACAATCATATGTTAACTCAAGCCAAAGTTGGTGAGAAACCAACAAAAAAGAAAGAACACAACAAAATGCTACAGACAGCAAGCAGAAACACCAAAGAAAAAAACTACTGCAAGCAGCCACTACAAGCACTGGACACAAACATTCCTAGGTTTCCCTCAACAACCTCCCAAAGCATTCCAACTCTAATTTTTATAAGTTTACAAAGCTCCCATATATCTGGTGCTGCATTCTTAAATATACATTCATTTCTGAGTTTCCACAAGGACCAAAGAGTTATTGTTAGGATGGCTCCCCCCACCCAACACACATACACACACTAGAGATAGCCCACTGTGAACCCCACCAACTCAAAATGGCAGGCACACCCTCCAAACAAAGGGACGATGTTGTAGCACGTGAAGTGATGATTCCTCTCGTTCTTGGACAAACCACAAAGTGTAGATGCATTGCCATTAAGGACTCCAATTCTCTGCAAGAACACTGTAGTTTTGACCTTATTCTTCCAAGCAAGCCACCTAAAAAACTGAACTTTAGGAGGAAAAGTATTATTCCATATCATTTTGCACAGCCTAGGATGAACGACAGGGCAAGTTAAGAAAGCCTTATAAAGAGATGAGAAAGAGAATATACCAGATGTTGAAGCTAACCATTTTGGGCCATCAATGATCTCCAACCTTAATTAGGGAGCTGAATTCAAGACATTTACAAGTCTAACCATCTCCAATTTTTCCCACTCAAAGATATTCCTTCTAAGAAACAAATTCCATTCCCCTGTTATTCCTTTCAGGTCAAAAAACATACTGGGAGAGACTTTCTTTTCCACTGACTGAAAATCCAAGGGAATTCATTTTTCAAACACAAATTGCCACACCAAATGTCCTCCCAAAATCTAACCATTTTGCCATCCCTAACCTCTATCTTGAAGTTGTTTAAATGCCCACCCCCATGACTGCTTTGAAGTAATTTCCCTAGGTGGTAACCAGCTGCAATCATCTAACCTGTACTTGCTACAGACCACTCTCCTCCACAGTGCTTTAGTTTCACGTGCAAATCTCCACCACCATATATACAAGCAGCAAAAATTGACATCTCTGACCCTTCTCATGACCAAAACACTCGGGTCCACCCTTTCAGTTACTTCCTCCCATTTAACTAAATGAACCCTGGTTCACCCTCTCTGACCCTTTTTAAACAAGTTTGTGGTCTACCAATGAAGTTATTCTATTTATTTATTTTTAAAAAAAAAGCACACCTCTTCATTTGTGAGGCTAATAAGAGGATGATATTTCTATATAATTGCCCAAAATATTTATTCAAAATCACACCAAATTTAAGTATATAGTGCAAATTTGACGTTATTGTATGATCACACTTAAATTAAATTTGATTTTTATATTTGATTTTAATTTTTAAAGAGACAAGATAATTTTTGAAGTACATGGAATTACTAGAAAGGAAATATGCCAGATTTATACAAAAACTTTATGATGGATTTTTAACCTTGTTGGCAAATTGTTCAAGGAGTTTTATATCCTGTTGGATTCTAGATCTATATTCTATCAGGATTGCTGCTGTTGGTGGTTGATGATGCTTTGTTTGTTGTTGTTGTGCTTTCTTTTGGGTTTTGCTTATGTAGCGGTATATTCTTGGGTTGTTGGTTTGTTTGTTTTGGTTTTTTTCTCTATTTAAATTGGTTTGCCATCAGCATAGTGCTTTTATATGATCGGGCTTGTATTTCGGTCACAACAAAGTTG